TCACAGGAATAAATTACATTTTAAAATATTTTCAAATAGAAAACAGTTATTTTAAATAGTAAAAATATTTCAAATTGTTACTGTTTTTGCTGTATTTTGGATCAAATAAATGCAGGCTTGGTGAGCAGAAGCGAATTCTTTAAAAACATTAAAAATCTTACCGTTCAAAAACTTTTTACTGGTAGTGTATGTTAGCCTAGTTTGAAGTTAAAGATATTAATATTAATTAGGTGAGTCTGAGACGATTATTTGGTTTATTTGACACATTTCTTGTTTGTATGAAGGCTAAATACAAATAAAAGGTGAACATTCATTTATTTGTTTTATTTGTGTTTCTAAAATATTATATAGTTTTATAGGAGGAGGTTTCATAGACTTGGCAAATTCTTTTTTCAGAAGTGTGTAGGTACAGACATCTGTTGTGAGCATTCTTGGCAGTTTTTCTGAGGCTTTTTTTAATCGTGTTCATATCGATATCGGAATTCTATCGTATCGACCGAAATTAAGAAATATATTGTGATATAAATTTTGGCCATATCGTCCAGCCCTAATCTTGGGTGGCTTGAGTTTAAGTACATATTCAGCAAATTTTATTTTTTGGTGAACTATTCCTTTAATGCAGTTTTAATTGATTTTAATTTCTCTGTCAGGTTATCACAAATAGCACTAATGAAGATCTGAAGAAAGATGCGATAAAAAATGCACAGAAAGGTAAAACATGCATATTGTTGCGCTTTATAAAAGGATGTATCCAACCGTGTGGTATGATTTATAGATCTAATAAATGGTGTCGTAGATAAAGGAATTCAGGTGGAGGCGAAGGTGAACGGTGATTGGTTCACGGGTCGTGTAACCGCAGTAGAGACGGGAAAGGAGAACATACGCTGGAAGGTCAAGTTCGACTATGTTCCCATGAACACTCCAAGAGACCGCTGGTACATGCACAAACACATACAAATAAACAGATCTGTTCTGTTTCATTGCAACCTCAAAATGTTTTGTATACAGCAAATGTTTAATTTGTGTTTGATTGTTTTCAGGGTGTTTAAGGGCAGCGATGACGTCCGTCTTATGCGTCCTGCCTCTCCAGAGTCCCGAAGTCCAGACACCAATCAGGGTCCAGCACGGTCTGTAACTCCGCCCACCGCTGCTGAGCCTGACACGACTCAGAGCGGGCCGAGCAGAGAGACCACAGAAGGCCTTGTGACCATGATGAGGTGTGTTTGTGGTCTCTTCTGCTGATAATAATATGTGCATTTTGTGTGTATTTTAACCTTCCGTTCATGTTTGTTTGGCACAGGACGCTGATACGGTATTTCTTCCCTCCGGATTTCCGAATCCCTAAAGATTCTGTGAACACTATGAGTGCGGAGGACCTCGTGGCCTTTCCCATCGTGAGTACGGACCATCTTTGCTGCGACACGGAAGCCTTCAAAGATATATCAATTCTAAATTGTTTGAGTGCTTACACATATTAATTGAACTGCATTAATTATTAATTGTGAATTGCAGAAAGAGTATTTCCAGCAGTATGAGGCCGGACTGCAGAGTCTGTGTAATTCCTACCAAACTCGGGCGGAGTCGCGGGCACGAGCCGTGGAGGAGAAGAGCAGCGGGGCAGAAACCAAACTTCGGGAATCTGAGGAGAAACTCCGCAAACTCAGAACCAACATCGTCGCTCTTCTGCAGAAAGTCCAGGAGGTCTGAAACACACACACACTCACTCACTTTACTGCATTCACACTAGGGCTGTCAAAATGGCTGAAAAACTAAATTCGAATTTTTTACTTAAATTGATCAATTTAAAGGATCCTTGCTAAATAAAAGTATTAATTTCTATAATTTCTCCTTTTGAAAGCTGAAAAGCTTTTGAATGGTATAGTATATAATGTTACAAAAGCTTTTTTTCCAGAAAAATGCTGATCTTTGTATATTTCTATTCATCAAAGAATCCTGAAAAAAAATTTACTCAACTGTTTTAAATATTGATAATCAGCAAATCAGCATATTAGAATGATTTCTGAAGGTTTTCTATTTCCAAATAGAGAACAGTTATTTTAAATTGTAAAAAATATTTCAAAATGTTACTGTTTTTGCTGTATTTTGGATCAAATAAATGCAGGCTTGGTGAGCAAAAGAGAATTCTTTAAAAAACTTTAAAAATCTTACTGTTCAAAAACTTTTGACTGGTATGTTAGCTTATAGTTTGAAGTTAAAGATATTAATAATTAATAAGGCGAGTCTGAGATGTTTATTTGACAGTGATTTCACATTTCTTGTTTGTATGAAGGCTAAATACAAATAAAAGGTGAACATTAATTTATTTGTGCTGTTTTTTTTTTCTTCTAAAAAATTAAATAGTTTTATAGGAAGAGGTTTCATAGACTTGGCAAATTAACTTTTTATAAGTTTGTAGGTACGGACATCTGCTGTGGGTGTTCTTGGCAGTTTTTATGAGGCTTTTTTAAAAAAGTGTTCATATCGATATCAGAATTATATCGTAATCGACCGAAATTAAGAAATATATCATGATATAAATTTTGCCCATATCGTCCAGCCCTATATGAACATTTAAATGCATACTTCATTAGGTTGCTACTTCTGCAGCGTCTATATAACGTTCACATTAATTACAAAAAAACCCCCGAAAAAATTAAAAAAATAAAAACTGAACGTCCCTGGGTGGGCTCGAACCACCAACCTTTCGGTTAACAGCCGAACGCGCTAACCGATTGCGCCACAGAGACCCTGTGCCTACTACAACTGGAATGTTTCATTAAGAAGAAACCTGTTTTCTATCTGAACGTTTGAATAGAATATAAATCACACATTATGAAGGTATTGCCACAAAGGCAATTTTGAGGTTTACCTAAAGGTATTGCCTATCCACAGACCTTTATGGGACTGCTGTCAATATGTAACACTGGAAATCGTGAATTCATTCAAAAGCAACTATTAGGCAATATTAAATGGCTTAGTGCATGTTTTCATATTATTTCTTGTACTTCTCAGAGGTCTTGTTTTATTTAACAGCAAGTTACAGCTGCCAGTAACTGCAGACTATTAGTCATATCAACGCGATATAAAAAAAAATTTATAAAAAAAAATGAAAGTCTTATAAACCATTAAAATTTTGTAATGTTTTTTGTTATTAAGAATAAAACAATAAATATTTCATTATAATAAATGCCCATATTAATTCTAATAAATAGCAGTAGCTGTACTCAGAGAGTAGTTACACTCTGAGCTTGACACTAGATGTCGCTCTTTAATAATGTGTGCAGAGTAAAGTCACTCCACTAGTGCAGTGCTACATTTTTAACATGAATTCTTAACCAAATATTTTGATGCATTTTTTTAACTGCATGTCATGCCTAATGCATGCTGCATGACCGCCTAACTGCCCAACATACATACTATCGATACATAATTGTGTACTGTACACTGTGTACTACAGATGAAGTGTAAATCTTAATTAGGCTTTGTGTTCAATGTTTTTTATGATCTGTCTTTAAGGGTAAACGTGCTTAAGTATAAACTGAAATCAATATTCCTTACAGAATAATGGAAGATATGCTTTTAGAAAGCGACTAAGACTGCAGACCTTTGTGATTGCATTCATTAAATGACAGACAGGGCCGTCGCAAGGGGGGTGCAAGGCCCTGTGCGAAGCCCTCAGCAATTTTGTGTGTGTGGGGGGGGGGCGTGCTATAATAACGAACGCAACTTTAACACGCACATAAACATAAACATAGGAGCCTGATAAAAATGCTCATTTTAGAAGAAAATTTCAAACGGCACTTAAGAGGCTTTTGCATCTGAACTCTTCATATGAAGCAGTAATCAATTTACACTATTTGAAAATAATATTTTATTTTAAAATGTGCACATTCACTCTTATTCGTATGTCTAATAGTCGAAAACGCAAACGTCTTTTGCCATGTTCATTTATGATTTACATGAATCATGATCGCATATTTTCAATTCAAAACGGCGAAATTTCATAAAAAGTTACGTAGTTTGCTTCACTAGATAGTCTATTACTGTCGGTCGCTGAACATTTCTATCATAAAACAGATTTCTAATACAGTACTACTTGTACATCTTTCCACAAACTCTCGTTGCGTTGTGACAGTGACAGTAAGACCCGCCTTCTTTGATTTGATTGGCCATCTCAATCATTTTGACACTGAGGCAGACCAGCCTAAAAGTTTAACTTTTAAAACTTTTTGTCATCCTAACAACAAACAGCTTTACTCATTCTTATACACACAGTCTTAAACTGTCTATCAGCTATGACTATTTTAGTCTTTCAAAGGACAAAATGGGTGGAAAAACAGTAAAAAAATGAGACAAAAACGGTATAAAATGCAGGCCAGGAGCGAGGCCCTGTGCGGTCGCACACTTGGCACAGCCTGTGCGACGGTACTGGACACAGACATCGCTATTGAACCACCATAAGGCGCATGTGTTGCTGTGTTAATGCAAGATTAATTACTCAAAATAAAAGCATCAAAACAAAAGCTTTCCGTCCCTGGGTGGGCTCGAACCACCAACCTTTCGGTTAACAGCCGAACGCGCTAACCGATTGCGCCACAGAGACTTGTGTCTCCAGCTGGAATGATTCCTCAATAAGTACCATCATTTTATCCACCAGGAAACTGACTTCTGAAATTGTGAATTACATACCTTGAATCCATACATACCACATCTTCTAGCAGGAGTCTGGCTTGCCAATTTAGGTAGTTCACAAATGGCTATGGTTATTACCTATAAACAAACATAGTGAACAAGTTTTTATTTTCCATTTAAAAAAAACATGGCTCATCATATCCACAGCGAGTACTGGTTGTATGTACTTTCCAAGCACACCATCTTAAGAAGATTTCTTGCCAAACGTTGGAAAGTTCGATTAATTTCACAGAACCCAAATGTGTATTTCAGCAGTTCATTCATCATTGTTGTTAATGTCACGTCTCCGCGTGGCATGTTACATGTACTGTTCAGATAAGTAGTGCTAAAAAGTAGTTATTTTTATTAGCGTTATAGATATACACATAACGTATCTATAACGCTAATAAAAATAACTACTTTTTAGCACTACTTATCTGAACAGTACATGTAACATGCCACGCGGAGACGTGACATTAACAACAATGATGAATGAACTGCTGAAATACACATGGGTTAGCATTATCTGAACAGTAACGACAGGATTTGCAATTATTTGCAATGTATAACGACTGATTTAAAGTTAATGTAAACGTCTTTCAGTTTAATTCAGTTTAATAAGTGATTAAAATAATCACATCTTGTTTTTATAATTTAGTTTGAGCTGATAAAGACAAGAATAAGCCACATTTTTATGTCTTGTTAAATTGATGGTCTTACTATGCAGCACAAATAATGTTAGTAATATTTGTCAAAACAACTCTTACACTCTCGATAACGATAACCGAAACAAAGCCGTTGGCAGTGGCTCTTGCCTCAACCAGTGGGGTCAGTGCGGAGGCAAAATGTGGTTTGTTTAAAAAAGCGTCGGACTCGGCAGTGTTTGGAAAACCTGTTGGAAAACGGTCATTATTTCGCAATTCCCTTTAGCCATTATCATTTCGGGCAAACATTATCATTGTGGCAAACAAATTACAAAATGCTGCTTTAAAAGTTTGAGCAAACTTTTTTTTTAACACTGCTTTAAAAATAAACGATAACCGCACACAGAGAATGTATTCCTGTATTTTGTTTCATGCTGTTTACACTTATCAAAACAGCTTCCAAACCTCATTGAACGTACATCCTCACGACATGCAGAACGTTTTCATGGCACCATAAAGTTATTGGTTTATTTCCGCAGATTTTATTGTCCGTGCTGGGCCGCAGTTACAAAATTTTACTGTCCTTGCTGGGCCGCCATTACAATCGAATATTAATAGTCTACATTAATAACAACGTTCACTGATATGCTCTATTATGACTTGTTACACGGTATACTGGGCTATTTTAGTCATACAACCATTAGGCCTAACGTTAATTGTGAAGCAGGAAGGTTATCTCTCACACGTTAGTTCTCGTCACACAACTCCGCAGCAACATTACTGTAAGAATCGATTGGGTTTTTCCCCCACATAGTTATGATACAAGAATCGTCTTACCTCATTAATTACCTCCTGCTTTGTAGAGTTCGCAAATGTAAATGTTCATTTTTGTCACTAGCTGCTCATCTAGAGCTTTCTAATATAACGGTTGCGAGGAGGCGTCGTCTGATTGGCCGCCTCTACCTGAAAAACGTGATGCCATTGGCTACAAAATTAACTCATTAAACACCCCTTTAAAAAAATTATTTATAAAGCAAAAATATGCACAATCATATCCCACCCACTCCCGTTCGGCTGTGTATAGTATGATTTTAAACTTTTCTGCAAACAAAACAAAAAGATATGACAATATATTTTGCATCCCCTGAAATATTCTATTATTTTATGTTTGAAATGGGTAATGCTTCTCCTGTTTAATTGATCATATTTTGTGTTAACTTTTTATCAATAAAAACAAAACAAACCGAAAAAACATTGTTTTTATAAATAACATTATTTATTGTCATTTGATGCAAGAATGCATTATACTTGGCTTTTGATCATTTTCTACAGCAGTTATAAATCCAGAATGAAAACGTGTTTTAGAACAAAACAACGCAGAATATTTTTATTTTACAAAAATTTTAAGTACATTCAGTAAGCAGTCTT